ACAGGAGCAGAAATAGAAGAAAAGCAGACATGAGAGACCGATGGGCAGTCTACTGTCTGGACTGTACTGGAGAAAAAAGCCAAAATCAAGAGTGTAGAGTGGAAAAAACAGCATCTGCAGTGGTGAATCAAATACTCTCTTACAGTGCAACACTTCTTCTGGAATGTTTGAAATGCAAACGTCTCTCAAGGTGCGTCCAGAACCAACAGGGCAGAGCTAAAGGTTATTAATTCACAGAGGTTCATCTTATTCACAGGTGCTAAAGAAGCTCTAAATACTAAAATAAAAGAGGAATTCCGGGGAAAGCATTAAGGCTGGAGTTGCACAGAGTTTGGAAAGCTAACACAGAAGCCACCGCCCATCCCATGTTCTGTGAAAGGTCTGTGTAAGGACACTACATGGAAGACTGAAAGAGGCTACACCTGCTGCGAGAACCACCGAGGAAACTGGATCATCCCAAGCACTTGCCATAATAGATTTCAACAAGGTTCTCCCAAATTTGGCAGATCACTTAAGAAAGTCGGTGTCATCTTCAGATTTTTATCATGCTTTGTTCTGTTTTTTTCATAGGCCCTTTTTGTTTGTCTTATCCTGTGGAGCAAGGCAGCAACTGTCAAACTCAGTACTTGTCAACAGAAAGGGGAGAAAATTATGCTCAGCTCTACTGTCTTTGGTGCTTGAAACTCTGTTAGGTCTCTAGCTGAAGGCGGGGTGAACATGGGAAAGCCTAATCCAATCCTGAATTTCCAGCAGGAATTCTCCTTGCGTATCTTTGGTCTACTGAGGTGGTTTCTTCCCACCTCTACTATCTAATTCTCAGGGATGCTAAACAAATGCAGGAAGAAGAATTACACGTGTTAACGTACCTAGTTACAATCACTCTGTAAAATGGTCTGTGCTCTCAGGAACTGTATTTAACAGGGTACACCCTAGCACGACCAGCCTTCCCCTTCTTTCTGCCTGTTTTTGGGAAGCTGTAGTCATAGCTGAGGACGACTTGGGAAAGTAGAGATGGCAAAAGAAGGGAAAACAGATTTGCTGCTTCTCAAGCAGTCACTGTGCTCCACTACGAAGAAGGAAGAGGACTAGAAGGCAGATGGAAAAAATGTTTTTGGTAATTCATATTTTTAAGTTATACTCTTAAATGAGTTGTATTTAACCTAACAACAGGATCATCTTCACTTAATTATTTGATTATTACAGCAGCTTAAGAAATTCTACTTTATTTAACGCAAGCAAGCAAACAAACAAAAACCTAAAGAGAAGTCAAAGTTACCTGAGAATATGAGTCACAAGCAACATCTGAAGTACAAGGAATGGGTACGAGAAGCTTTCACGGAGCGGGGGCGTCCACATCACACGGGTGCACTGAAGAAAAACAACTCTTGTTAAATTTGCTAAGCACGACATACCAAGTGGAAGCTGTGATTTAAAAATACAAAGAGGAAAACTTTTCACACATAATTGAAACCAAAAAACTTTTCACACATAATTGAAATGGCAGGTTGTAAAACAAGCCACTGGACTTTCCACAAACAGCAAAACTGGTGAGAAATTTTACTGAGAAAGAGACACACATGGCTCAAGATCACGTGAAATATTAACATCATGAACTGTCAACAAGAAAATACCAAAAAGTTGCAACTATACCTTAAAAGGAAAGGGGGGAAAGTACCAGCAAGAAAATGTTTACCAACATTAAAATTGTTTCATTTGAATTATTTAAATTATTTGCAGTTTATCTTCTTTCCCATTAAGTTCAGTAAAAATGTCCATACCCAATACTGCAAAACTCTTTATAATCACCAATTTTAGCACTTTTATTCATAACGCTACTACAAGGAACATTCTATTTTTGCTTTTACTTCTTTTTACCCACTTACCCTGGGTTGCAAAGTATGAGTGGGAGGGAAAATCAAATTAAATAACTGAAGTCTGAAAACAGTCAAGTATTGACCTTTCTAAAAAGCTCACTCTGGACATAATTAAACAATGTACTATCCCAGTTTTAGTATCATTTTTCTGCATATATATTAAATACATTAATAAGTCCATCTTTCCATTTTAAAGAAAACTGCGCCTGCGCTGGCTTAAATGTCAGCGATCTGATATCACTACCACTACGTTAGTCACAGG